AAAAAAAAAAAAAAAAAAATTAGCCAGGCTTTTTGGCACCTATAGTCCCAGCTACTCAGGAACCTGAGGTGGAAGGATGGCCTGAACCCCGGAAGTCGAGGTTGCAGTGAGCTGTGATCATGACACTACACTCCAACCTGGGCAACAGTAAGGAATGGGCCCTGGCTCCAGAAGTGACTACAGGTGTCAGTCTGAGTGTCAGTGATAGGGTTGTTGGTGGGGTTGGACTTGGTGGAGGTATGTTCTGCTTTATAGAAGCATGTACTAGTTCGAGAACTGCCTGGGTAGCATAGTGTGACCCCATCTCTACTAAAAAAAAAATTTTTTTTTAGTGGCATCTCTGTCACCCGGAGTGGAGTACAGTGGTACACTCACAGCCAGTGCAGCCTCGACCTGCTGGGCTCAGGCAGTCTTCCACCTTAACCTTACAAGTAGCTGGAACTACAGGCATGTGCCACTATGCCCAGCTAATTTTTTGATTTATTGTAGTGACCAGGTCTTGCCAAGTTGCCCAGGCTGGTCTTGAACCCATGGGCTAAGGCAGTCTTCTCGCCTCCGTCTCCCCAAATGCTGGGATTATAGGCATAAGCCACCGCACCCAGCTGAAAAAATGTTTTTAAATTAACTGGACATTAACTTTAAATTAACTGGACATTAACTTTTAGTCTCAGCTACTTGGGAGGCTAAGATGGGAGGATCACTTGAACCCAGGAGTGGGAGGCTGCCATGAACTATGATAACTCCATTGCACTCTAGCCTGGGTGACAGAGCGAGACCCTGACTCTTTTTTTTTTTTTTTTTTTTTGAGTTGGAGTCTCACTCTTGGCTCCCAGGCTGGAGTGCAGTGACATGCTCGTGGCCATCCCAGCATTGACTTGCTGGGCTCAGGCGATCCTTCCACCTCAGCCTTCCAAGTAGCTGGAACCACAGACGCACACCACATGCCTGGCTAGTTTTTGTGATTTCTTGTAGAGACGAGGTCTCACCAAGTTGCCCAGGCTGGTTTCGCACCCCTGGGCTCAGGCAGTCCTCTCGCCTGGGAGTGCTGGGAGACCCTGACTCTTAAAAAAAAAAGGCCCCTCCACAGCTTCTGCTACCCTGTCCCTGGGTGACACTGCACCCCCACCACCAGCAGTGGACAACCAGGAAGGGACAGTAACCCACCCATGGTGTCTCCAGCTTAGGCAGCTGCAGCGGCCTCAGGTGAGGGCACACCTGGCTGTCCAGGACAGGTGCCACCGTGCTGCCTTCCCCGGCGCCTCACAGTGGGCGGCTCCTGCTGCACTGAAGGTTCCCTGGCAGGGCAGTGCTGGCCACCAGACTGAGGCCACGGAAGTCCTCCAGGGAGGGTAGGCGCAGTGACTCGTGTCACCCACAGAGGAAGTTTGGTGTGGTCCTGGATGAGATCAAGCCCTCCTCGGTTCCTGAGCTCCAGGCTGTGCGCATGTTTGCTGAGTACCTCGCCAGTGAGAGCCGGAGGTGAGGCCAGTTCAGTGGACTCGGTCTTCTCCAAGGCCAGTCACGAGCCTGGGGGATGAGGGTACAGGGTACGGGATCCTCCCCTTGGTTTCCCACAGACAGCAGTCCTTCCTCCTCACCCTCCTTGCCTCTCTCTGCCTCAGTTTCCCTCACCTGCACAGCAGGAGATGGAGATGGACCCTGCTGCAAAGGGAAGGGTCAGAGGCAGTGACTGTGTGTGCAGATGCCCTGGGGGCCTAGGAGGCACCCTCTGCACCTGTTGTCATGAATATCAATTGCCTGAGAGCCCCCTGGACAGCCCGGGCCCTGGGCCCAAGTTGAGGGCATGTGACCTGCCCCTGAGCCGCAGGCCAGCATTGGCAGACACTGCAGGTGACAGCCGTGTGGAGAGGGGGTTGGGCTGTGGGGACCAGCACCCCTCCTGCTACGGAGCAGGAGTGGGGTGAGACTCCACGTGATTCTCCCACCCCCTTTCCTGCGGAGGCAGTGCCCGTCACTGCCTTCTTTTTCCCAGGGAAGCCCAAGTTTCCCAGGAGTTGATTCAGTGCACAGGCAGCAGGGTGCGGTAAGTGGCATCCACATCCTATCCAGGTTCCCACGAATGCGGCGTTATTTAGCAAAAGGGTCTCTGCAGATCAAATCAGGGTGACACTAGAAGAGGTTATCCTGGTTGGGGCGGTGTCTTATGAGAAACAGAAGGAGGACACCCAGATACAGAGCAGGGCGTATGGACAGAGGCAGAGGCTGGGGCCATGTGTCTACGAGCCAAGGAGATGCTGAGGAAGAACTCCCTGCCTGTGCCTTGGCTTTAGACTTCAGGCCTTCGGGACTGAGGAAATCGATCCCTGTCATCTCAGGCCACCCAAGGTGTGGTGGTGGCCACAGCAGCCTCAGAACCTTTGCCTAGGCCTCCTGAGATCACATTCCTCCCCCCATGTCTCACTAGCTGGGGTGAGGCAGGAGCTCCAGGTGCCCCAGGAACAGTGGCTGCAGTGAGCATCACAGGAGATCCCACACAGAGGGGAACCCTGCTAGCCCTCAGCTCACTCACCCAGCGGTCCCTGGGCCGTGGGGGATGCCCTATGGCTTGAGCCTTCAGTGTGATGATGATGTGACACCTTCCCTGATGACATGGCAGTACTAACGCCTCAGTGGCAGCAGGCACACGCCCATGTGCCCAGAGCCTCGCAACACTTCACGGGGTGGCCTCCAGGTCTGCCCACCAGCCCTGTGTGACCCTGTACGTGGCCCTCCATGCAGGGAAATGGACTCGGGCGAAAAGTCACTAGTCCATCAGGCCCGGTGCCGTGGCAAGTCCCCAGTGGAGCCTAGGCAGGGCCCCAGATGCAAGCACTTGGCAGACAGCCCCCCAAGGGCCCATGTGGATGCTCCTGGGGTCACAGAGACACTTGTGGAGCCAGCAGAGTGATAGTTTGGTCTGGCAGTGGCTCCTCTGCCTTCATCGGCTGCTGAGTGGCCCTCAGAAGTGGATCTGGGCTGTTTCCTCCCTAGGGAGACCGAGGCCCGGGTGGCCTGTGGCCAGGAGGATGCCAAACCAGTCTTCAGCCTCACCCACACTCAAGCCCAGCTGTGACCCCTGGCATAGCGTCCACCTGAAAGTGCAGCTGGCATGCTGGACTCTCGGAACTGAGGGGGCTGCTCTGGGGTGCCCGAGGGCTCCCCACCATGTGCCATCTGGGGGTGCCCATCCTTCTGCACAGCCACCTAGCGCCTAGGTCAAGGTCCCACTCACAGACCTGACCGAGATCCCCAGGCTAACCCATTATGGTTGGGAGTCCCAGCCAGGGCCACTGGCCCCAAGACTTACTCTGCCTCCTCATGCCCCCCTCAGGGGCACTGGTGTGTCAGCCACTTCCAAGTCCTGGGTGGCATGGACACCACATCCCCCAGGGCCAGGTGAGCTGGAGACTGGTGGTCACTGGAGCTTCATTATACCCTCCCTACCAAGCCTGGAGCTCCCAGCCCCGCTTCTCCCAGCCTTGGTTTCCCTGTCTGTGCAGGGGTGAGAGGTGCCTCCGGTGTGGGAAGGGCGAGTGGGGGCAGCCAGATGCTCTACCCATCGCTGCCATGCACCCTGGGGGCCTGGCTCGCCCCTCTGGGCCTGTCTGTTCCCAAGGAATGGGCCCCTTGAGGTCATGGGGGCTGGACCGCCTCCTAGCCCCAGCCGTGGACCCTGAGCAACCGCGTCTTGCAGGGATGCCATCGTGGCCGAGCTAGACCGGGAGGTGAGCAGGAGCGTGGACGTGGCCAACACCACCTTCCTGCTCATGGCCGCCTCAGTCTACCTTCATGACCAGAACCCAGATGCTGCCCTGCGCACCCTGCACCAGGGGGACAGCCTGGAGTGGTGAGTACCCAGCTCTGGGGACAGCCTTAGAGGCGAGTCCCCATGTTTCCAGGCTGTGCATGGTCTTGCTGGCCGTCATCACGGGAGTGCTGAGGGTGGCAGCTCTGATGCGAGGCCTGGGCCTCCTATCCAGGATCCAGCCGCATTCTCAGTGGGGGAGACGCACCCGTCTCTTGGCCAGAGCTCCAAGGACACAGTGCCTGGGCTGTGAACCTTCTGTTCCCAAGAGCAGAGCAGAAAGTGCCTTTGTGTGCTTGGCTCCTGTGTCCCTACCCCCACGAGCCTCCTGCCCAGGGCCCTGGCCCGTCTCTCCAGCCTTCCCAGCCCCCCAGACTGGCCCTCCTTCAGGGCGTTCTGGGCTGGTTGGAGCCCAGGGTGCTGAGGTTGGTGCCTGGGCCTGCGCTGTGCCCGGCGAGGAGCTGAGGGGAGCGGGGCCCTGGGCTGTGCTGCAGGTGCACGGTGGGCGTGTGTCCCTCCTCTGTGGCCTGTGCAGGGCCTTGGTCCTGGGTACCTGCTGCTTCGGGGTGGGCTGGGGTCTCTGTCGGCAAGCATGGCTGCCTGAGGCTCCTCCTCAGGGTAGGCCCGGGGCCTAGAGCCCATGCCCTGAGAATCCCCTGGAACTCCCAGGCCTGAGCAAGCTCAGTGGCAAAATGTAGGGGTGAGGGTGTTGCCCCTGCAGGGAGGGGCTTGTGTTCTGGATCTTGAGGGGGATGCTTGGGGAGAGCTCTTTGGTGTGCAGCCCCAGTGACCAGTGCCCATCTGTCCCACAGCATGGCCATGACAGTTCAGATCCTACTGAAGCTGGACCGCCTGGACCTCGCCCGGTGAGCCGCCTGTCCCACCTGGGCTGGGGCGCCAAGACCCTGCATCCTCCACCCGAGCCCCTGCGGCCCCATTACTTCTCGGTTTTCCGTCCGGTTCTGTTGCTGGCTTGCCATCTCTCACTTGAACCTTCCCTGTGGCGTGTCGCCAGGGACGAGGGGCACTGCCATCAAGGGCCTTGGTGTCCCCCGTGAGGTGGACAGTAGGCCTGTCCCACAAGTGGGAATGGAGGAGGCAGTGCCCATGAGAACGTGTCACTTGGCCAACTTGCAGTGGTGCCGCAGGGACCAAGGGGCCTGCACGTTCCTGGCTGGGGTCATCTGAGAACAGACCCCGTCAGCGGCGTCCAGGTGTGAGAGGCTGTGGGCGGGTGTGTAGAACTCTCTTGCTGTAGTTCCCAAAGCCCTCGCCTGAGGCCTGGGCACATAGTAGCTCTGTCACTATTCCCTGAGTTCCATCCTCCATCTGGGGGCCCGTGGGTGGGGCTGGTTCAGCCCTCCCTGGGCCCGTGCGGGGCAGGACAGGTGCAGCCCAGGCCTCAGTCATGAAAGCTGTGTGTGCAAGGTGGGGACCCTGAGTGGGAATCCCATGGGGAGCTCCAGGCCAGACCCTGGGCTCTCATTTCCCCTCCTCTGCCCCCACCCCAGGAAGGAGCTGAAGAGGATGCAGGACCTGGACGAGGATGCCACCCTCACCCAGCTGGCCACCGCCTGGGTCAACCTTGCCGTGGTGAGCCCTGGAGCTCCACAGGGGCCAGGGATCAGTGCCTGGCCAAGCAGGGTCTGGGCTACCCTCAGCTGTGCCCTGGCCACTGGTAGGGGCCTCATTCCAGTGGGGCCCCAGGAGCAGGCCAAGACCCAGCCCCTCTGGGCACGGCTCCTGCCTTGCTCAGCCTGGACTGGGTTCAGTTTTTCACACCAGGCAACTTGCCAGTGCAGCAGGCAGTGGGGCCGGGGGCCCCAAAGCAGAGGCACAAGGCTCTCCCAGGACTCGAGCTGGCCAGCCTGGTAGTGCATCCTCCCACCCGGCCTCCCGGGTTGCTGAGGCTCCGCTCTGCTCTCCAGAACTGGGACAGCCAGCAACAGGATGAAGTTCCATGGCAGCCATGGAGGTGTCCGCCGCCCGGCTGGGCAGCCCTGCTGGCAGCAGCTCCTGTGCTGGTCTCTGGGTCTTGGCAGCCTTTCTGGGCCACTGTATGTGTGAACCCGTTGGCCTGTGCCCCCAGCCCTGCCCTTAAGGGGCTGGAGCCTGACTCAGATACCCTCGTCCAGTATGGTGGGGCACCCCAACACGTATCTGGTAGTTTTAACCTTCTTCACTGCCCACCTCAGCCCCAGGCTCCTCTGCAGGGTCATGTGGTATGAGCAAGTAGACAGGTCGGGGCTGCTGGTCACGGAGCTGACTCCACTTCTGATAGGCCTTGTGACTCAGTGGCCCCGGCTCAGACCCCGGCCCAGCCACCCACACCCATAAGCTGAGTGCTCATGGAGCTGGGTGGGCGGCAGCTGCATCTTGAGTCCTTGTTGGCAGAGCAAGGCCCCACGGGGGCTCTCCACGGCACTGGTGCCCCTCTGCTGCATGGGGGACGGACAGGGGAGGGGCTGGGCGGCAAAGTGATGAGTGATGGCATCAGACGGCTCCTGCAGGGTGGCGAGAAGCTGCAGGACGCCTACTACATCTTCCAGGAGATGGCTGACAAGTGCTCGTCCACCCTGCTGCTGCTCAATGGGCAGGCAGCCTGCCACATGGCCCAGGGCCGCTGGGAGGCCGCCGAGGGCCTGCTGCAGGAGGCGCTGGACAAGGTAGTGCAGCTGGGGCAGGGCAGGCGCTGTGGGGCAGGGCAGACGCCAGATGGCCCCACAGGGGCTCAGAGGGCAGTCAGCCACCGGGACCTGAAGTCAGAATGGCAGGCATAAGTCCAGATCCCATCCCTATTGGAGATGGGTGGAGGGGACACGTGTGTCCTGGCCTGTCCTCGTGGTCACCTCCACTGCTGGCCCGGAGGCTCCAAGGGACGCCTCGCTGGAGTGTGTACTCGATACTGACACTGCCACCCATCCTTATCCAGGGCAGGGCCTGTGGGCGGGAGGCGTCCTGCTCTACCACCTGGTGTCTGTGGTCTTTATGGCAAGTTTATTTTTATAATCAGAAAGAGTAGCCGGGCTTGGTGGCTCAGCCTGTAATCCCATGCTTTGGGAGGCTGAGGTGAGTGGATTGCCTGAGCCCACGGGTTCGAAACCCGCCTGGACAACTTGGCGAGACCTCATCTCTACAATAAATCAAAAAAATTAGCCGGGTGTGGTAGCGCGCGCCTGTAGTTCCGGCTACTTGGAAGGCTGAGGCGGAAGGATCGCTGGAGCCCGGCGGGTCGAGGCTGCGGTGGCCGGGAGCAGCCACTGCCCTCCAGTCTGGGTGACAAGAGTGAGACTTCAACTCCCAAAAAAAAAAGAAAGAGCACCAAAACTTTTTCTGTTTTGGAGGAACTGTTTATTTACTTATTTTAATTTTTGTTTTTTTGAGTTGGGTTCTGTCGCCCAGGCTGAAGGGCAGTGGCATGATCCTGGCTCACTGCAACCTTGACCTCTTGGGCTCAGGTGTGCACCACCACATCCAACTAGTTTTTATTTTTAGTTTTTGTAGAGATAGGGTCTCATTGTGTTGCCCAGGCTGGTCTTGACCTCCTGACTTCAAGCAGTCTTCACACCTCAGCCTCTCAAAGTGTTGGGATTACAGGAGTGAGCCAGCTGAGAAACATTTTTAATCTGATGAGACGGAAACACTGATGGCAGCCTTCCTCCCTGCCGCCTTTGTGTGGGCCAAGTTGTCACGAGGAGATTATTAGCGGGACAGGGACAGTCCGAAGGTGTTCTTTGGGCCCTCTCATGGGCCACATCCTCCCAGCAGGGTCTGCTTTTTGCTCTGCACAGCCAAGGCCCGTCTGGAGCCCCTGCCCAGTGTGGGGTCTCAGATGGGCTGTGCTCCCTCACTGTCCCCAGAGGTGAGACAAGCAGAGCCTGCCCTGCTCCTTAGGATGCCTGGGGCAGAGTCGGTGTTCACAAGCAGTCTGCAGGGCTTTAGGTGCACCACCCAGACGATGTGCCAGATGGCCCTCCGGTCTGTCCTCGTTCCCTGAACACGGGGGCCTGTGCCCTGTGGTCCTGACCCCGTGGCTGCAGTGCCAGTGTCTCACTGGGTCCCTCCTCCCCCCTCCAGAGCTGCCTCACTGCTCTGGGAGCCCAAGGTGTGTCCCTGCTGCCGTCATAGACACCGAGGCTCAGACCCCTGGTGTCTCCACCAGTGCCCAGCCTGTCAGGGACGGCCGTGGAGCCCAGTGGTATGTCTCTGCTCTGTGCGGTCCCTGCCTGGCAGCCACCAGAGCCTGGCTGGGCCTCCTGGCCAGGGCGGTTCCCAGGGTTCCGTGTGCCTCAGAGTCAGCGTGAGAGGCCTGTGGAGGTCACCCACCCAGGGGCTTCTGGTTGCTTCCTGGCAGCTTCCTGCCAAGGCCCTTGTCGAGTCCTCCCAGGGACTCCGGGTTCGTCACACAGCGGCAGCGGAGGCCATCTTGGCTGGGATCCTTGAGATCTGTGAGATAAATGTGTTCCTCCTCTACCACCACAGACAAGCAGGCCCATCCAAGGCAGCGCAGACAGGGAAGCGGGGGGAAGTGTGTGGGGGGGTGGCCCTGAGATCGCCACCTTGCAGAACAGTGGGGTGGGGGACTCTGCTGGCAGGCCCGGCCCCAGCCCACCTTGGGGCATGACGCTGCCCCCCATCTGCCTGTGTTTTCAGGACAGTGGCCACCCAGAGACGCTGGTCAACCTCATCGTCCTATCACAGCACCTGGGCAAGCCCCCTGAGGTAGGCTGCTCCCCAGCCTGGCCATCCCAGGGCCAGTCTGAGGTCTCAGTGGAGATGTGAAGGGTGGTCTGAGGTAGGGGAAGAACCTTGTCCCCCAGGGAGCGCCATCAGCCCAAGGGCTCAACAGAGGAGTGGGCTCAGAGGGTGTCCACGGCTGGGCTGGGACCCCCGCCTGTGGCACCTTGGGGGAGGGCAACAGGGCAGAGAAGCGGGCCAGGAGAGCATTCTGGCGAGCCCTGGTGATCTGAGGTTGGGGAAGAGAAGCTGGGGCATGATGCAGTGTAGACATGACCCTGTGGCCAGGCTGTGCCTTGGGGCTGCATTTGACGGAGGGAGGCAGATCTGTTTCAGAGGGACTGGCCCCAGAAACAACTCTGGATCTCCAGTTTCGGGGAGACAGGGCCGGGCAGGGCTGGGCCCAGGGGTGGGCTGAGGCTGGCAGTCAGGGCTCTCCCGGGGTCCGGGGTCCAGTTCCCAGGCCCTGTAAGGTTTTCATACAAAGCGTGTGCACAACAAACCTGCCCTCACCACACAGTCTCCCACACCAGCCCTGGCCCTGGCCCAGCCCCCTCCCCCTCGCGATCCTACCTGCCTGCTGCCCTGGTCCCTGTGTTCATCCACCACCTGGAGTCTCTGTGCCGGGCATTTTCGTGGTGGGCGCCCCACCTCCCTGAGGGTCCTCTGATGTGGGGAAGAGGGAAATGTGGGCTCGGCTGGGGGCTCCTGCCTCACCTGCCCCTGCCCTGCAGGTTAGAGCCACTACGGGGTCCCGAGCTTGGGTCACCCAGCCCCACCCTCCTCACAGGTGACCAACCGCTACTTGTCCCAGCTGAAGGACGCCCACAGGTCCCACCCCTTCATCAAGGAGTACCAGGCCAAGGTGAGCTGGTGTGGGCGGCCCAGCCCTGAGCCCGTTCCCTGCAGCTGGTCCAGGGAGGCCTGGAGCCCAGGTGGGCTCACGTGGTCTCTCTCTCTCCCCTGCCCTCATCCCGTCCCTGAAGGAGAACGACTTCGACAGGCTGGTGCTGCAGTACGCTCCCAGTGCCTGAGGCCTGTGTGGGACCTGCGCCGGCAGGACCGCGAGGCCGGGCCCCAGGCCTCCCCGCCTGGCACCCCCTCGTCCTCTGCTGGGCCCTGGGGCCACCACCTGTCAATAAACGTCTCTGCCCCAGCGTATCCCTGCCTGGTGCTGTGCTCTGGTCACTCGGGGCTCACGGGAGCCAGGGCTCAGGAGGGTCAGGACCCCCCGCCCAGGGCTGCTCTGGAGACCAGGGTTGGCAATGATGCCACAAGGCACAGCCCTCGCTTGGTGCCCACAGCTGTGAGCTTTACCCCGCACCTGCAGAAACACAGAGCAGCCCCATCTGGGACCTGAGGCGCAGAAGTCCACAGCCCAGTCATGGGGGTGCCAGGGTTGAAGCCACGGACCCAAAGTGGGGGGCAGAAAACACTCAGGCAACAACACACGGGTAGGGCGGGGCTTCAGGTCCCCGCAGAGTGAGCACCACACACCCAGGCCTTCTCACTGCTGCCGTGAGGCCTGCCGCGCTTGGGTCTGGGCCCTGGGACACTGTGGTGGCCAAGCCCCATGCTCCCTGCCCTCCAGAGAGAGCCCTCCACCCTGCGGTGTTACAGGGCCAAGGTGGAGGTGGGCAGGCTGTGGGGTGCAGAGGCGGGCCTCTCGGGCGGGTCACTGCCGAGCTGTTCTGCCTGAATGAAACACTACCGGGCTGGATCCTGGGGGACAAGCCTCTCGGGCAGCAAGCATGGCTGTGCAAAGGCCCTGTGGTAGCATGGGGCTGGGAGGTCAAGGAAGCTGGACAGGGCTGCATGCCCCTTCTCATCTGACTGGGTCTGAGCTCAGCCTCGGTATATCTCCCAGGGAGGAGATAAGACACTTGGCTCCCCGCACCCCCCAGGCCTGCTCTCATCTGCCTTTGGGGCAGCCACCTGAAACTGAATCCTGGTCCTGGTTGCCAGGACAGGACAGCAGGAGGCCCCCACCTGAGCCGGGGGGAGGGCTGCTCCAGGTCCTCCCTGGGCAGGGGCATCAGAAGGACAGTCCCGTGAATGGAGGCCCAGCCCCTCTGGGGAGGGGAGAGGGGATGCCAGCCTCTGGACTGACCCCCAGTGGCCCCTCACCAGGCCTCAGGTGCCTGGGGGCCATTTTCCATTTCTGCCCTGCACCCCCCTGCTGGCGGCTGCCTGGCTAGACCCGCCAAAAAGAAATCCGAGGCTGAGCTAGGGCCAGTGGGTGGTGGGTGGCGCCTCTCCTGTGACCGATGGGTGCCATGGTGACCAGATAGTGCCAGCTGTGGGGGGAAGCGAGGTGCCCGGGGAGGTCTAGGGCTGCCCCACAGGCCTGCCAGGCCTCTGGGAGCACGTCCCGCCAGGCCCTGAGACCCCGCTGCCTGCGAGCAGGGCCTGAACTCTTGACCAGGCCAGGGCCTGTCACGTCCAGCCCCGACTCGGGGACAGAGGAACCCGCACACACACGGTGTGCACATCCAGTAAGGATGGAACGGACTTGGGCAAAGGCCCCGAGGCAGCCCTGGGCTTGGCGTGTTGGCAGAAGAGAGAGGCCCTGGCACCAAGGGGGCCAGGAGGACGTGAGGGCAGTGGCCAGCAGGCCTTTCACTGAGCACAAGGCCTTGCCGGAGCCAGTGCTGTCAGGCCCCCTCCAGCCTCTGCGGGGCGAGCAGGAGGAAGCCAGTGTGCCAGACAGGAGGCCTGAGGGTGGCCCGGGGTGGTGGTGCAGGTGCACAGAAGTGCCAGGTCCAGGCACGTCTGAAGTGGGGCTGAGAGGAAGGCGCCTTCGCCCGCACCCCCACCTGAAGGCCGGGTAAGGCTGGCAGGCCTCTCCCTGCATCCTGCCCGGAAGGCCAGGTGGGGGGAGGTCCTGGGGGCTGGGATGGGGGTCCAGCAGCGCCCGCTGAGGCAGCGTCCCCACCAGGGGACCAATGACATCGGTGTCGTTGAGGGCTTCGGGCACTGGTGAAGGTCACTGTGGTGGTCATGGTCCAGCGTCTTGAGTCCCCCACCTTGGCGCCCACGCCCTCTGCCTCCCTTTGAGGCCAGTGTTACCTGACACTGGGAGGCCTGCTGTGTCCCCAGGGTCGCAGAGCAGCAGGTGACTCTGGACCAGTCCCAGCCTGCCCCCTCCTCCAGGGAGGCCTCTCAGATCAGCCACCCCCACCTCCGGGTCACTGGCAGCCTGGCGGAGAGGTCTTGGGGTGTTGCCGTCCGCACGCGGGATCGAGGCTGGAACCGCGTCGCCGCGCGCAGAGCGGGCCCAGGAGTCCGTGGGGCAGTCTCCCCGAGGTGCCTTCCCCACACTCTCGCGCGGGCGTGACCTTTGGGGACGGAGCACGCCCACTGACCCCAGGCCTGCCGACGGCGGGAAGGCCAGGGATGGCTGGTCGCCAAGGCCTCGGGCCGTGAGGAGGAGCCAGGGCTCCAGCGGTGCTGAGGTCCCCCGGCCGGGGCGCTGGCG